ACTTTACTTTGGTGTATAATTTGTGGCATAATGAATTTTTAAAAAAATTGGATTGATCGGTATATTTATTGGTACATGTTCAAAGATGCGGTAATTCAAGGCTCCGATATGGTTGCAAATAACTTTTATAGTTTTCATGTTATAACAGTCGTTTATATATCTTTTTATTGCATTATAGTTGCCATTTGCTTTGGTATATAATTTATTCCCTAATATATTTTTAGAAAATGGCCAATTGGATAGATCGGTAGAATTATTTTCACAGCTTTAAAAACGCGGTAGTTTGAGGTTCCGATATGGCTGCAAATAACATTGACAGTTTTCACGCTATGACAGTCATTTATGCATCATTTTAAAGCATTATGATTGCACTTTAATATGGTATATAATTTGTAGCATAATGTGTATTTTTACAAATTGGTCAATTTGATAGATCGGTAGAATTATTGTTCTATGTTTAATAAACGCAGTAATCTGAGGTTCCGATATGGTTGCAATTAACTTTGGCAGTTTTCGTGCTAGGACAGCTTATGCACCATTTTAAAGCATTTTAGTTGCCATTTGTTTTGGTATATAATTTATTGCATAATGTATTTTTAGAAAATGGCCAATTGGATAGATCGGTAGAATTATTTTCCCAGGTTTAAAAAGGCGGTAATTTGAGGTTCCGATATGGTTGTGAATAACTTTGACAGTTTTCATGCTAGGGCAATAGTTTATGCATTTTAAAGCATTTTAAAGCATTACAGTTGCACTTTATTTTGGTGTAAAATTTGTGGCATAATGAATTTTTACAAAAGTTGGATAGATCGGTATATTTATTGGTAAAGGCTTAAAAATGCGATAATTTAAGGCCACGATATGGTTGCAAATAACTTTTATAGTTTTCATGTTACAACAGTCGTTTATACATCTTTTTATTACATTTTAGTTGCCATTTGTTTTGGTATATAATTTATTGCATAATGTATTTTTAGAAGATGGCCAATTGGATAGATCGATAGAATTATTTTCCCAGGTTTAAAAAGGCGGTAATTTGAGGTTCCGATATGGTTGTGAATAACTTTGACAGTTTTCATGCTATGACAGTCATTTATGCATCATTTTAAAGCATTATGATTGCACTTTAATTTGGTATATCATTTGTGGCATAATGTGTTCGTCTAAAAAATGGTCAATTTGAAGGATCGGTAGAATTATTGTTCTATGTTTAAAAACGCGGTAATTTGAGGTTCCGATATGGTTGCAAATAACTTTGACAGTTTTCATGCCAGGGCAATAGTTTATGCATCATTTTAAAGCATTACAGTTGCACTTTATTTTGGTGTATAATTTGTGGCATAATGAATTTTTACAAAAGTTGGATAGATCGGTATATTTATTGGTACAGGTTTAAAAATGCGGTAATTTAAGGCTCCGATATGGTTGCAAATAACTTTTATAGTTTTCATGTTATAACAGTCGTTTACCTACTTATCTTTTTATTGCATTATAGTTGCCATTTGCTTTGGTATATAATTTATTCCATAATATATTTTTAGAAAATGGCCAATTGGATAGATCGGTAGAATTATTTTCATAGCTTTAAAAAGGCGGTAATTTGAGGTTCCGATATGGTTGCAAATAACATTGACAGTTTTCATGCTATGACAGTCATTTATGCATCATTTTAAAGCATTATGATTGCACTTTAATATGGTATATAATTTGTAGCATAATGTGTGTTTATACAAATTGGTCAAATTGATAGATCGGTAGAATTATTGTTCTATGTTTAATAAACGCAGTAATCTGAGGTTCCGATATGGTTGCAATTAACTTTGGCAGTTTTCGTGCACCATTTTAAAGCATTAAAATTGCCATTTGTTTTGGTATATAATTTATTGCATAATGTATTTTTAGAAAATGGCCAATGGTATATAATTTATTGCATAATGTATTCTAAGAAAATGGCCAATTGGATAGATCGGTAGAATTATTTTCCCAGGTTTAAAAAGGCGGTAATTTGAGGTTCCGATATGGTTGTGAATAACTTTGACAGTTCTCATGCTATGACAGTCATTTATGCATCAGTTTAGAGCATTATGATTGCACTTTAATTTGGTATATCGTTTGTGGCATAATGTGTTCGTCTAAAAAATGGTCAATTTGATGGATCGGTAGAATTATTGTTCTATGTTTAAAAACGCTGTAATTTGAGGTTCCGATATGGTTGCGAATACCTTTGACAGTTTTCATGATATGACAATCATTTATGCATCATTTTAATGCATTACGATTGTACTTTATCTTGGTATATCTTTTGTGGCAAAATGTGTTCTTCTAAAAAATTGTAAATTTGATGGATCGGTAGAATTGTTGTTCTATGTTTAATAAACGCAGTAATCTGAGGTTCCGATATGGTTGCAATTAACTTTGGCAGTTTTCGTGCTAGGACAGTCGTTTATGCACCATTTTAAAGCATTAAATGAATTTTTACAAAAGTTGGATAGATCGGTATATTTATTGGTTCAGGTTTAAAAATGCGGTAATTCAAGGCTCCGATATGGTTGCAAATAACTTTTATAGTTTTCATGTTATAACAGTCGTTTATATATCTTTTTATTGCATTATAGTTGCCATTTGTTTTGGTATATAATTTATTGCATAATATATTTTTAGAAAATTGCCAATTGGATAGATCGGTAGAATTATTTTCCCAGCTTTAAAAAGGCGGTAATTTGAGGTTCCGTTATGGTTGCAAATAGCATTACAGATTTCATGCTGACAGTCATTTATGCTTCATTTTAAAGCATTATGATTGCACTTTAATATGGTATATAATTTGTAGCATAATGTGTGTTTTTACAAATTGGTGAATTTGATAGATCGGTAGAATTATTGTTCTATGTTTAATAAACGCGGTAATCTGAGGTTCCGATATGGCTCCAATTAACTTTGGCAGTTTTAGTGCTAGGACAGTCGTTTATGCACCATTTTAAAGCATTAAAATTGCCATTTGTTTTGGCATATAATTTATTGCATAATGTATTTTTAGAAAACGGCCAATTGGATAAATCGGTAGAATTATTTTCCCAGGTTTAAAAACGCGGTAATTTGAGGTTCCGATATGGTTGTGAATAACTTTGACAGTTTTCATGCCATGACGGTCATTTATGCATCATTTTAAAGCATTACAGTTGCACTTTGTTTTTGTGTATAATTTGTGGCATAATGAATTTTTACAAAAATTGGATAGATCGGTATATTTATTGGTACAGGTTTAAAAATGCGGCAATTTAAGGCCCCGATATGGTTGCAAATAACTTTTATAGTTTTCATGTTATAACAGTCGTTTATACATCTTTTTATTGCATTTTAGTTGCCATTTGTTTTGGTATATAATTTATTGTATAATGTATTTTTAGAAAATGGCCAATTGGATAGATCGATAGAATTATTTTCGCAGGTTTAAAAAGGCGGTAATTTGAGGTTCCGATATGGTTGTGAATTAGTTTGACAGTTTTCATGCTATGACAGTCATTTATGCATCATTTTAAAGCATTATGATTGCACTTTAATTTGATATATCATTTGTGGCATAATGTGTTCGTCTAAAAAATGGTCAATTTGATGGATCGGTAGAATTATTGTTCTATGTTTAAAAACGCTGTAATTTGAGGTTCCGATATGGTTGCAAATAACATTGACAGTTTTCATGCTATGACAGTCATTTATGCATCATTTTAATATGGTATATCATTTGTAGCATAATGTGTGTTTTTACAAATTGGTCAATTTGATAGATCGGTAGAATTATTGTTCTATGTTTAATAAACGCAGTAATCTGAGGTTCCGATATGGTTGCAATTAACTTTGGCAGTTTTCGTGCTAGGACAGTCGTTTATGCACCATTTTAAAGCATTAAAATTGCCATTTGTTTTGGTATATAATTCATTGCATAATGTATTTTAAGAAAATGGCCAATTGGATAGATCGGTAGAATTATTTTCCCAGGTTTAAAAAGGCGGTAATTTGAGGTTCCGATATGGTTGCGAATACCTTTGACAGTTTTCATGCTATGACAATCATTTATGCATCATTTTAATGCATTACGATTGTACTTTAATTTGGTATATCTTTTGTGGCAAAATGTGTTCTTCCAAAAAATTGTAAATTTGATGGATCGGTAGAATTGTTGTTCTATGTTTAATAAACGCAGTAATCTAAGGTTCCGATATGGTTGCAATTAACTTTGGCAGTTTTCGTGCTAGGACAGTCGTTTATGCACCATTTTAAAGCATTAAAATTGCCATTTGTTTTGGTATATAAATTATTGCATAATGTATTTTAAGAAAATGGCCAATTGGATAGATCGGTTGAATTATTTTCCCAGGTTTAAAAAGGCGGTAATTTGAGGTTCCGATATGGTTGTGAATAACTTTGACAGTTTTCATGCTATGACAGTCATTTATGCATCAGTTTAGAGCATTATGATTGCACTTTAATTTGGTATATCATTTGTGGCATAATGTGTTCGTCTAAAAAATGGTCAATTTGATGGATCGGTAGAATTATTGTTCTATGTTTATAAACGCGGTAATTTGCGGTTCCGATATGGTTGCAAATAACTTTGACAGTTTCCATGCTAGGGCAATAGTTTATGCATCATTTTAAAGCATTACAGTTGCACTTTATTTTGGTGTATAATTTGTGGCATAATGAATTTTTACAAAAATTGGATAGATCGGTATATTTTTTGGTACAGGTTCAAAAATGCGGTAATTTAAGGCTCCGATATGGTTGCAAATAGAGCTGTGCGATGTTAATCGATGCATCGTAAACATCGATGTTTTGGTTTCGATACATCGTTTAAATGTCGATGTATCGTATCATACGATGTTAATCGATACATCGATGTTTTTTATTCGATGTATCGAAAAGCAAAATTTTAAATTTACGCATCCGGCAGCTTTTGTTTAAGTAGATGATTGCAACTCATTTGAAGTATTGACAATGTTTTTAAACAAAAACCCTTCAAGAATGACTTAATTTGTTTTAAAATCGCTTGAAGTAACAACACAGAAAAAATATACGTTATATTCATAAACCATCATCGAAGCAACAGCGTATGCAAAAAAAAATCTAAAGTATATTTGTATAGAGAACAAAATTTTCGTTTTTATGGTATAAATCAGCAATGTAAGTTATTTTTGTGTGTTTGATGTTAACAGCAATATTATATTTGTCTTAATTTTACTGTTACAGGTTGTAATAATGGCACCGTCAACGTCGAGCTTGGTTTGGAAATACTTTGAAAAAAATGACAAATACTTAAAATGATAATACTTAAACACATTCACAAGGCTACATTTTTGGAAATGTCTGAAATAAAAAATTCTGGAACGCAAAAATTAATAAATACAAATTTTGTGAGAGTGTTAGGCGAAAATACACCAGTTGTTTCCGATTCATGTGTGCCGTCTACAAGTAGTTCACATAATGTACAACCTATATCATGTATTGAGGTAAATGATGACACAACTACTGAATTAGTACCTTTAAAGCGTCAGAGGTCTATACAAAAAAGTTTTGAAGATATTGCTTCTTATTCCGATGGTGACAAGGCAAGAAAAATTAACAACGCTATTGTATATATGATTTGTAAAGATTATCACGCGTTCTCACTGGTAGAGAATGAAGGTTTTAAACATCTAATAAAAGTGCTATCGCCGCATTTTAAAGTTCCATGTAGAGGTACTGTGACACGTTGGGTCGATAACAAATATGAAGTTTTATCAGAAGTATTGAAAACTAAATTAATAACAGTGGGCAATATTACTTTGACAACTGACATTTGGTCTGATTTTCAAATGCGAAGTTTTTTGGGTGTCACAGCCCATTTTGGTATTTCAACTGAATTTCTGTCGATAACGTTGGGGGTATACCACCTCTATGAAAGACACACTTCTGAATATTTATCAACTGTTATTACCAAGGTATGCAATGAATGGGGCTTTCCAAAAGATAAAGTTACCGCAGTAGTAACAGACAATGCAGCCAATATGACAAAAGCTGAAGAATTGGCCTTTGGAAAAAAGAAGCACATTCCGTGCTTTGCGCACACACTAAATTTAGTTGCGCAAAAAGTACTAAATATCTCAGAGTTGCAGGCATTAGTAACTAAAATAAAAAATATTGTCGCTTTCTTTAAACAAAGTTGCGTAGCAAGTGACGAATTAAGAAAAACGACAAAAGCTGATGCAAAACTTATCCAAGATGTACCTACTCGTTGGAATAGCACGTTCTATATGATCGAAAGGTTTCTAGAACTTCGAAATGCCGTAAGTGATATATTACTTCGACACAAAACTGCCCCACCAATGTTGACAGGTATGGAATTATCCACATCCTCAAAACTACTTAACATATTCGGCCTTTTGAGGCAGCTACAAAAGAAATATCCGGTGATACATATTGCAATAGCAGCAAAGTTATTCAGCTAGTTCACTGTATGGTATCGAAACTAAAAGCTCTTGAAATTGAAGAACCCTTGTTAAATGAAGTACATAAAATGGCTCTTATTGAAATCAACAAGCGAATGGGTGCTATCGAACATGTATCACTTCTGGCTATTGCCACATTATTGGATCCACGGTTTAAAAAAATACATTTTGAAGATCCACTTGCATGTTCGAAAGCCGTTGGGAAAATCCAAGAAATGATAAGAGATATGGCAGACGAAAAGTCTGGGGATGGCGACTCCGATATTTCAGACAATCCGATAGACGAATTTAGTCTCTGGAGTGATCACCACAAATTAGTTCATAGAAATTGGAAAACAAATAGGACTGAGGAACTTTTCTGATGAACTCTCAGTTTATTTGCGAAGTCCGGTAAGTCGGTTTGATGAAAATCCTCTAGAAGTGTGGGCCGACTACAAAATTCAATTCCCCAGTTTGTACAATATAGCATACATATATTTAACAATGGTTGCCAGTTCCGTGCCATCTGAAAGGCTATTCTCAAAGGCTTCATTAGTGTTGTCCCAAAAAAGAAGCAGTTTGCAGGCAGAGAGGGTGAACAAAATATTGTTTTTGCAAAGCTTAAATAAAAAGTATTGGGACATTTAGTAAAACAAATTTCCTAATCTTTGAAAAATTTTAAATTCTAATTTTATTTAATATTATTTTTATTTGACATTCGTCTACAAATTCATTTATAAACATTTTAGTTCAATCAGAATTTATATTTTTTTACATGTAATAATATAACAATAATAAGCCCTAATTTTGTAAATCACGTCACCAAAGGGATATTTATATGGATAGAAAAAACAAAATTTCAAACATTATAAATTTTTTGTTTGTTTTTCATACAAAAATTTCAAATTATGAAAGGCAATGTCCGAATTTTGGTGCAGTTGTTCAGTTCAGAATTTGCATATACATATATTTAAAATTTAGTTTTTTCTATCCATATACATAAATATAACTTGGTGTCATGTTTTAAACAATTAGGACCTTAATAATGTAATAACATTGAATTGAATGAAAAAATGCCTCATAAAATAAACAACTTATATTCAATATGTTAAAATAATTTGACTTTTATTAAATTAATTTTGTTTAGTTCCAGTTAGAATAAATACGATGCATCGCAAACATCGATGTTTTTTTTAATTGATGCATCGAATAACATCGATGTGAATTAATGATGAATCGAATGGCAAAAAACATCGATGTTTTTTTTACATGGACAACTCTAGTTGCAAATAACTTTGACAGTTTTCATGTTATAACAGTCGTTTATATATCTTTTTATTGCATTATAGTTGCCATTTGCTTTGGTATATAATATATTTTTAGAAAATGGCCAATTGGATAGATCGGTAGAATTAATTTCACAGCTTTAAAAACGCGGTAGTTTGAGGTTCCGATATGGTTGCAAATAACATTGACAGTTTTCATGCTATGACAGTAATATATACATCATTTTAAAGCCTTATGATTGCACTTTAATATGGTATATAATTTGTTGCATAATGTGTGTTTTTACAAATTGGTCAATTTGATAGATCGGTAGAATTATTGTTCTATGTTTAATAAACGCTGTAATCTGAGGTTCCGATATGGTTGCAATTAACTTTGGCAGTTTTCGTGCTAGGACAGTCATTTATGCACCATTTTAAAGCATTAAAATTGCCATTTGTTTTGGTATATAATTTATTGCATAATGTATTTTTAGAAAATGGCCAATTGGATAGATCGGTAGATTTATTTTCCCAGGTTTCAAATGGCGGTTATTTGAGGTTCCGATATGGTTGCGAATAACTTTGACAGTTTTCATGCTATGACAATCATTTATGCATCATTTTAATGCATTACGATTGTACTTTAACTTGGTATATCACTTGTGGCAAAATGTGTTCGTCTAAAAAATTGTAAATTTGATGGATCGGTAGAATTGTTGTTCTATGTTTAAAAACGATGTGATTTGAGGTTCCGATATGATTGCAAATAACTTTGACAGTTTTCATGCTAGGGCAATAGTTTATGCATCATTTTAAAGCATTACAGTTGCACTTTATTTTGGTGTATAATTTGTGGCATAATTAATTTTTACAAAAATTGGATAGATCGGTATATTTATTGGTACAGGTTTAAAAATGTGTTACGATTTTTTTGTTATAAACAATCATTTTTTTTTTATTTTGTTGAATTTAAGAATTTTTTTTTTTTTTTTGAAAAAGAAAAACAAATTCCATTAAGGGTTCCTTCCCACACTTCTTTTAAATGGACAAGTAAAACAAATTCCAATGTTTCATATATTTCTTTTATTTACACTCATATTTATGAGTATAAATATACACATGATTTGTTGTGGGTTAATCTCTTTAACTTTTTTACTTCGTTAATAAATGTGACGATCTCTTTATTTCTTATTGTTCGCTAATAAAGAGTTAGTATTTTTTTTACAATCACACTCTTAACATATTAATGGCATTGGTTGTTTTTGTAAATTTTAACTTCTTTTAACAAGGAAGAAACCAGTTTTTTTTTATACCCTCCACCACCATCAGTGGTGATAGAGGGTATATATAAGTTTGTCGTTCCGTGTGTAACACCAAGAAATATACATCTAAGACCCAACAAAGTATATACATATATTCTGGGTCCTTATGAAATTCTGAGTCGATTTAGCTATGTCCGTCTGTCTGTCTGTGTAAAACACGCTCACGTTAAAACTAAATAAAGGAAATCAACCAAATTCACCCAAAATATTTATTATTATCCTAAGCAGTTTGGTATCGAAAATCAGCAAAATCGGTTCACAACGTAAGAAGTTATGAGTAATAATTTCAGACTACCTCGAACAAAATTACGTTTTTTTCCTAATTCTTTTGAAGTTTCCTCAGAAACTACCAAAGATATTGTCGATGAATTTTGTCACACTTTATTTTTTTAGAGCAGTGATCAATTATGTTCAAAATCTTTACAATTGATCCAATATTTCCCATAGCCCCCATACAAAAGTACATATTCCCGGAAATTAGTTTATCGTTAATAACTCAATCAAATATATCGGTATCAACACCAAATTTTGTACATACAAATATAATATGAAAAGAAATCATACTACCAACGTAGATCTCAGTCGGTCCACAATTGGTCATAGCTCCCATATAAGGCCCACTTCCAAAAATCACTTAAACGCACATATTTCATTGATGAATAAAGCTATTATGATAAAATTCGGGCTGGATATGTTTTGTGTACATACAAATCATTCTACCAAATTTTTTGGGGATCGGTCCATTATTGGTCATAGCTCCCATATATAGCCCACTTCCGAAAATCATTTAAAAGCTCATATTTCATTGTCAAATAAAGCTATTTTGATAAAATTCGACAGAAATATGTTTAGTCTAAATATAAATCACTCTATGAAATTTTTTCCGGATAGGCCCATAATTGGTCATAGCTCCCATATAAGGTCGACTTCCGAAAATCACTTAAACGCATATATTTCATTGAATTATAAAGCTATCGGGATAAAATTCGACACAAATCTGTTTTGTATACATACAAATCTTTCTACAAAATTTTTTACGGATCGGTCCATTATTGGTCATAGATTCCATATAAGGCCCACTTCCAAAAATCACTTAAAAGCACATATTTCAATGTCAAGCTATCTTCATAAAATTCGACACAAATATGTTTTGCCTAAACATGAATCACTCTACGAAATTTTTTCTGGATAGGCCCATAATTGGTCATAGCTCCCATATAAGGTCGACTTCCGAAAATCACTTAAACGCATATATTTCATTGAATTCTAAAGCTATCGGGATAAAATTCGACTTGAATATATTTTGTGTACGTACAAATCATTTTACAAAATAATTTTTTACGGATCGGTCCATTATCGGTCATAACTCAAATATGAGGCTCACTTACGAAAATCACTTAAAAGCACATATTTCATTATCAAATAAAGCCATCTTGATAAAATTCGACACAAACATGTTTTGCCCAAATATAAATCACTCTGCAAAATTTTTCCCGAATAGGCCCATAATTGGTCATTGTTCCCATATAAGGTCCATTTCCGAAAATCACACGCATATATTTCATTGAATTCTTAAGCTATAGGAATAAAATTCGACTTGAATAAGTCTTGTGTACATACAAATCATTTTACCACTTTTTTCTCGGACCGGTCCATTATTAATCATAGCTCCCATATAAGGTCCACTTCTGAGAATAACTTAAACGCACATATTTCATTGTCAAATAAAGTTATCTTGAGAAAATTCGACACTTATATGTTTTGTCTTTACATAAATCACTCTACGAAATTTTTTCGGGATAGGCCCTTAATTGCTCATAGCTCCTATATAAAGTCCACTTCCTAAAATCACCTAAACGCACCTATTGGAGTAAAATTATACTTGATCTTTTTCTGCATTATACGAAATTGTTTCCTGATCGGTACATAAATGGTTACAACTCCCTTATAAGGACCATTTCTGAAAATTACTTGAACGCACATTTTATACATAGGTATACAATTTTTTCTGAATCGGTCCGTATTTGGTCACAACTCCCATATAAGGGCCATTTCTGAAAATTACTTAAACGCACATTTTATACACATTTAGGTATAAAATTTGACGTAAATGTGTATTTTGTATATATGTATATAAATCATTGTACGGAATTTTTCCGAACCGGTCCATATAAGGTTAATTGTTAAAAATCACTTAATACCACTTAATTCGTTATTAAATTATTATATCCGGATAAAATTCGACATAAGTATGTTCTGCGTATAGATAAATAATTCTAAATTTTTCTGGACCTAATCAAAATTAGTTCGACAAAAATTTTGGCGAGTTATCTAAAAAATAGATAGTTAGATGGGTTTCAATAAAAAGTAGCTTGCTGGTGGAGGGTATTTAAGATTCGGCATAGCCGAATATAGCACTCTAACTTGTTTGTTCTTGCTGTTGTTACAGAAGTCACTCAATGAGAGTAGATCTTTTGGTTTAGTTTTTTTACTTTTCTTGCATTTTTTTATTTTTCTCTTGTTGCCAACTAACTATGCATTCATATGTATTTCTATCTCATTTAAATTAATGCAAAATATGTAGGCAATATTTCATTACCATTCATTCCTTTTTTTATATACATACATGCAGTGTTGCCATAACGGAATTAAAAGTGCAATTCTAGCACTTTTTTTTTCGTCCGCTGCATTTATTTTTTAGAAAAAAGTGCTAGATGCTTTTTAGCACTTTTTCGTCTTTTGCTAGAAATTTTTAGCATTAAAAGTGCATTTTTGGCATTTTTTCTTCTATTT